GAGAAAGCATTTGGTCATCAAGGCCTGTTTAAGCTTCTTGATAATGATAATATAAATTCTCGGGTATCAATAATTAAAGGTACAGTTTGTGTCATAGTCAGAAGTTATTTGAGAGCTGACCAAAATGTTGAAATATATCTAAGAATTATAATTAACTCAACATGTAATAAGGTATCGATTTATTTAATACAAAGGCCGCGAGAAAAAATAAAATACATACGTTACCGTTAAAATTGAATTATTTTTAAAGAATATGAGTACCATACGTTCAATGAATCACTTTGAGTATAAACAAAATAAGAATTTGATTCATAACTTGAAATGTAATTATAAAATATGTAAAAACAATACTAATTGTAAAAAAAATGATATGGTAACAATTAGTTGGTCGTATCAGATTTGAGTTAATAGCAGTAACTTGTGAAAATATTTTTCAAAATTAGACCTAAAGTAAATAGTAAGCAATATAAATATTTAGTATCCGCTTTGAAAAAAAAAGTCATTTGGCGTGCGGTACTTTCTCTCTTGATACAGTTCGAGTGTTTTTTTTTTGTTTTTTCGGAAAAATTTCACAAACTGTTTCGATTATAAACTTGAAAAATTAAAATACTAGTTTATATTATCAGTTGTTTGTAATCACAAGATTTCAGATGATATTATTATGACCAGTCATGCTAGTATTGCTGCCATGGTATTCTGGATGAAATAATCGGTAGTCCACTCTAAATTAGGTAGCTGCCATAAAAAGAAAGTAGATACATTTTTTCGAATTTTAATAGGAATTATAGTTTAATATTACCATTGATTTGATATTATATATTATAAAATCAATAATATTACAAATTATGTAAGAATACTATAAACGAGAAGTAGTAGTCTTTTGATCATTTTACCATTTATGATCCGAGCAGACGAAATTATACCAAAGTCTGAACAACAAATTATATTTTTGTATCACGCTGCGTTTTATGACAATTTGGACTTACTGCGTTTATTTTAAATCGACCGAGTAACTAAAAAAATGAACCATTGAATAATAAATGAGAAGGCAAATAAGATTCAAGGGTTCAGCCGTCGTTCGCTTTGGAAATCAAAACGGCGTGGCGGAGACTATTCAATGTAGCAAAATATGTAGAATTAGGCGGCGGGTCTGTCTGGACATTGTATTGTATACAATAGAAATCGTTATAGGGATTATCCCAACTAGTTTTTTAGGGTACTGGATTTTTAGTTGTATTTCTACAGCGCTACGTTCGCTCCGAAGCCCTTTTTATCGTACAAATAAATATATGGAAAATTTATTTAACGTTAGCATTGAACGGAAAAATTAGTCTGTGTATTGGAAAAACAAAAATGTGATGACGTAAATGGAAAATTCTGAAATAATGATAATAATACGGTGTTTTTTTTAAAAAAAAAAACTCGTTTGATATATCTATAAATATAGTCTATACCAAGGCCGTTACTAAATACACAGTGTATAAGAAGTCAATTAGACGTACCCGAAAGAGCTACGTTAAACATTCAAACTGTATTAGCAATAGTTAGTTAGTATGGTTAGTTCTGTACTAATATATGCACTACAATAAAAACATCCTGAAGTCAATTGATTTAATTTAACAAGAAAATACTTGGAAACAAAAGTTATAACCTTGGGAGAACATGGATTATACAAAATATTTACTTTATATGTATAGAATATTTTAAACCCTAATCGTTGCACTAAAGTACACTAAAATGATTGTTATGGAGGTTATTGTATTTTCTTGATATCATAGAAAACCACTTGAATTTATACTATGTACATATATTTTATGGGTTTCTTTGCAGATGAAAAGTCACAAAATCAAACATTACCACAGGTTATGAAAAACATAAAACCTAGTGCGCAGCACTGGTACACTTAATCAAAATTAACTACTTACTTACTCATCCTCAATGTTTAATTCGATTTAACAGTCAAAATAACACAGGATTTGCTACTTAATTACAATGTGTTACTAAATTGGAAAGTTCATAAGTATTTGTGACATTACTAAACGTTAATAAATCTACTAATCCTAAAAATACCTGAACTTACTTATCATAAATACTCGAAATGTATAATATCTAGTGGTAAAATGGTTTAGTATGTAATATTATAATATATTTATTATATAGATTATGATTTTAGACAGAATAGACATAACAAAGAGAAGCCGACCACTGACGACATTTTATAATGAGAAATTAAAAATATCAACCTTAAGAACCCACATAATTAAATAAAATACATTGTTAAAAAAAACCGTTTTTTTTCCAGCGGACAGATAAACATAGTTACACATGGAACATTGTAAACTAGCAGCATGATGATATTATTAAGGAAGTATTGTTACGACAAATTGCTCAATGAAAGTCTAACGGAAAACAATAAACGAAGCTGTGGTCACAATAAGATTACAAAAGTCGTTACAAAATGATGAAAAAATAATAATATGTACTTAGAAATATTATGTTTACTCGGGACCGCAAAATTAAAAAAAAAAAAACACTCACAACAATAATAATTGGTCACAGTTTGTGAGCTTGTTTGGAGATTTATATCTTTGGACATTGCAGCGTTCAGTTATACGATGAAGGAATACATTTTTATTATTTTTTGATGGTCTTGGTCGGTTATGAAACATAGAGCATAACAAAAAATACCACCACCGTGTATGACTAACATAATAATAATAATTAGACTATAACAGATAATTAACAGGCGGGGAATTCTTTACCTAATTTCACCAAGACTCGTTACTTAGCTCTAGGCGTAAGACGCGCGGCGAAAATTACTATCATTTTAAAGGATGTATTAGTCATAGACAATTCTCTCGGCATAATAGTAGCTCTAAAACAGCACTTACATTGATCGGTAAAAAATGTGATTATGCTAGATAATTTAACGTTGGCCTAATGGAGAAATATTAGAAAATATGTCATGGTGCTTTCAATTTCTTAATGCACAATACCTAATAAAATAAAATGTTCATATTTTATACAAACATAGTATTTATAAATTACAGGGTGAATACCCACGACTAAATTATAATAATTAAGTTCATAATAGTTATGAGCAAAATATAGAATTAAAAAAAATCAATTTATTAGCAATATCTTATTTTTTTTAGTTTTTGTTCGCAAACATTCCAAAGTAAAATGAATACGTTACCTTATACGTTATTATGTATAACTTATTATAATAATTTATTTACTCGCCAATTTTATTGAATTCGATTTGTTGTTAATAATATAATATTTATATTAATTTATAAGTAATAAAATAACATGTTCAACAAATCATTAAAGCGATTTCCACCTGCAGTTTATATTTATATTTTAAAACAATGAATACAAAATTAGGCAAAGAATTGTTTAATTTAATCAGATCAACGTTTAGGAAAAAAATTGGCTTCTTGTAGAATTGTGTACTAATTATTACACTTCTGAAGTCTTTCCGGGTTATGCTAAATAAAAAAACTTCATGCCAGTATTTAACTACACTTTAAAATACACATAAACCGTAAACGATTACTGTATTGTATACTTCTAAGTTTGTAAAGCACTATGGGACACACAATTTGACATTAACGTAAAATATTGAGTTGATTTCAACTTTTAGATTAAGCGGGATAGGATTTATAGTAGTCGAAGTATAAAATAATGTTTTTTTATTATTTATCTTTTCCTAGAACGCTATCATTCACCAGCCCGATGTCATTATCCTTTGTGGTATGTGTATTGTAAAAAAACAACGCATTCGTACATTTTGAGTAGTGTTGGTTTAAATAAATAATAATTGTTGTAGTATTGGTGTATATGTACCAGTATTTAATGGCTATATTTTGGAAATAATTATTATAACAAACTAACGGCGAATTCAGTCACAAATATTATTTTCGAAAACAATTATTTTTTAGCTTCGACGCGGTGTTGAGAAGGTATTGTTTTTACAATGATGAGTTTCCATTTTATTTGTACTTTTGTGTTTGAACCTACAGTATTTTCTAAACCACTGAACCGATTTCCTCATGTAGCAACTTGCAAATATATACATCAGAAATCATACCTGAACAATACTTTATTGAGCTAAACAATTATTAACAACATTTTTTTTTATTAAACAAAAACCATTAAAAAAGGGGGAAATCAAACTCCTGCCGTATTTAATGTTTAGGTTGCTATGTCAAGTGTAAATTAATCAACAGTCAGTCGGTATCTAAAAAAGCATTTCCAAGCAAGTTTATCACTTCAGCTACAATAATTTCTGAAAATTGATCACTTTCTTAATTTCAGTATGCTGTATACACTGTGTGCTCCGATCGACTCAACTGTGCTGGCTTTTTTAACACAATTTCTGCTCAAAATATTAAAGTTCATTAAAATCACCATCCTATTACTTTTAAAAAATATCTATTAAGCGTTTGTTATGTGTTGTATAATCTAGCATTAAAAACAACAACATGAGTTTTCATTATTTAAAGAATTAAATTATAATAATACAAAAATTAAGTAACTCTGAGTGCTTATAAGTTATGCTACTATTGTAAACGATGACAAAAGAACACATTAAACAAAATATTTAAATAAAAATAATATTAGTATTATTACATATTCTATGGAGATAATTCGTACGTGATGTTAATACGATATAAAAATACAGTACACTATTTCAGGTAGATAGATAATACTAAAAAATGATTTAGGTACCATAATTTGAAGGTCTATTAAAGTGTAAGACCAAAACCAATGTAAGTATATTATTATTGTTTTTAGTTTTATCAACAATACATTTCTTTGATAACTTTGAAAATCGATTTATCAGTTTTATTTATTAATAAAGCCAACTAGTTTTTAGAAAGTATTCAATGTTCAAATTTAAGTTTTAAAACTTACTTACATAATTAACTTTACTTAATCACATTATTTTTAAGACAGATATCATTTTTAGAGTCTATTATAAAAATACTCGGCATCTAATTACCATTCACCAGTTACATTTTACTGAAAAACATCAAAAACTACGAATAACAAAACATATTTTCTTATTTGCTAAAGAAATAACTATAGATAATTTTATTATCTTAAAAAAAAGTTGTTATTTAAGTAGCCTATAAGCTATTACAGCTATAACCAACACAAAATTATTATTAACATGTTTGATATGTGTCTGATGTAACCATAGCAATTACCTTAAGAAATACTTCTATTTATTTACAAATTATTATATAAATATAAATACTACAACACACTGTCATTTAATATTTTTCCAATATGAGGGGTAGCGCTTAGGCAACAACAATACACCTAAGTAACATGTGTATACTATTGACTTAATCCTTTACAACATCTTGTACCGGTCGTAAATGCAACTAAAAAAGGAATGTAGTACCGCCGAAAACCGCATTACAACTATTTATTACCGTTCATGATAGTATAATTGATATTCTGTGCTCTTATTAACTGGTCAGTGTTGTGTGTGACCATTTAAAAATAATAAGCGTAGTAATTGAATATGTGTATAATAAGTATATTAAAATATTTTATTCTCGAACTATCACTTACATCTTTAAAATGAACTACTATTATTTTAATACTAAAGTTTATTGGTATATAGTATATACACTTATAATTATAATTAAAAAAAATCAGAGTAGAAATGAGTGTCACATATCACAAATTATACTTAAACCTAAAGTCGACGCATAATACAAAAACCAAAGAACCTTCAACAAAGATAAAATGTTGTCAACCAATTACAAATATCGTAGTAAAAATAAAAGATGTCTAGATATCATTATTTACATTGCTGACTACATATTAATCAACGCATAACTTTTTGAAATTTCCTTCAACTCCTAAAATAGTTTGATCACCTCCGATTTTTTGCGATACACGTTTGCTAGAATCAGCTTTGACGTGTTCCATTTCAACAAACCAGTCGCTACGCTTAATAAATTCCGCGTGCAAATCATCTAAAAATAAAAGTTATTATTGTTTAAGAGTACAGAAACATTTTTAGTGAAAAACATAGTCAAATTGAGTTTGTTCAAATTACACACGAACATCAAAATAATCAACAATTTATTACAACAATTGTTTCCATTATATTATTATCGTTTGTACCATTTATTTCGAAAATAAATTATACTTAAATATTCACATACCGTTTAAAGATTCCATACTGCCAGCTTTGCCACCCCATTCGTTTGGTAACATATCTATAGGATAATATTCGTACAACCCTTCAGTTTTGGAATTAAATATAAGCTACAACAAAATAAAATAAAAATATATATATATATATTTATTTACATATTTCACAACTGAAAATATATTTCTTGTTTAATCCTCACCCTATCCTTGAATTTTTGTGGGAAAAAATGTTTTACAAAATTAAGTGTAGTCTCAGCAACCGAGGATATGTTCACAAAATGTACTCTCTTAATCCTAACCGGTTTTGCGTCCTAAAAACAACAATTACATTATGTTTTAATTTTGTCAAAGTAATATTTCGTTCCATATCTTGAGACGCATGTTTCCTATTGCATAATCTAAAAGTCATGTTTACGACTAAAATAAGTTAAGTATTGGAAAATGATTGATTGTAATACATTAACCTTCGATGGACATGGTAATTGTGTTACTAATAATTAGTAGTATAACTATGGATTCTATAGTGTACAAATTAGCCATTACATTGCTAGCATTATATTAATATTATGATGCCAGTGTCATGGAACGATTGCATAATGCGACCAACTTATATATAAATAAATAAAAATGACTTGTTCATACATTTTTTTTTTATCGAATTTATAAGAATTGTTTAAAAGCCTTCTTCCTAAAAATGATTTTTGTAGAGTTGTGCGAAAAAAATTAATCGGTTAACAAACCTGGCCAATCAAAAATTGAAAACTAATAAAAGTGCCAGTTATTATAATTATTACCAAGCTAATTTTAAGGAGTTTCTTCATAAATGCCACGTTGAATTGTGCCCAATGTGCCATTGTATCCATATGGGTTAAATCGAAAATCCAAACATCACCCAAAGTCAACGGATCGTAGTCGAACAGCCAACTCCACATCATTTCGTTGCGTTTAAGTTGTTCGTCCAAAACAAGATCTCTGGCATCAGTCGAAGCCATTCGATAACACAGCACTCTGTTCAATTCTGGCGTGAGTTTCGGCAATGGAAACATATACCTAATTGGAAAAAAAAATATGTAATACAACTTTGGATTATCGAGCTACGATTTTAGAATAGTTTTGGAAAAGTAACTTTTTTCATAGATTAAATACGACATTTTTTAATTGATTATAATTTTCGTGCATTGTATAAATTGGGTTTTCTTAATTTCACAATACAATTTCTAGTTGTGCAGAAGCATATAGGACGCGTGTTATACCCTACGAAAAATGAAATAATTTATTTTAAAATCAAATGCATAGTACTTATTCAAAATCGAAATTTTAGTAAAATGTCTTAAAAAAAGTGAGAGTTCCATTACGAAGAATGAATAATATTTGTTTTTTTTTTTACTCTTTTTGTATAACTATAATTTTAAACATGGTGTCCAAGAAACGTTTTAGACGTGGAAATATTATATTATCATAACGTTTAATGTACAAACGAAAATAATTTTCCGTTGCCTTGAGCTGAAGAAGAAAGAAGGTCCATTAAATGTTTACGGAGTATAATTGCGAATTGAGACCCGAGGGGATACAAAGCAAAAAATAATACTTAAACAAACTATTTTTTTTCTTTTCTCCTCTCGTTTGCACATCTGCGATGGTTCGTTAAACGACAAATGTATCGGCAAACAAAAACACCCGCGACTTACAGAAATAATTGTTTGCTTAAAATATATTTTTACAAAAATAATAAAGTAAAATATTAATTATTCGCCGGCGTCGTTCTCATTTATCCTACTTTGTTCCATTTAAACTTAATTAACATTCATTAGTTTTGCTATGTTTCTATATACTTGTTATACCGGTTGGTTATCCATTTATTAAACAAATTTGTAAAAAAACAAAGTAAAGCTTGAACACCCACTGAAAATATACGCTGAGTATGTTATAATTAATAACATTAATTAATTTATAACAGCAAATTTTTGTATTATAAACAAATGGGTAATAACCTTTTTTCTCCATAGTTCTTATGGTTAATTTAATTATAATAACCCTTTCTAAAAGCAATTTATGTCTTGTATACTGATTACATTGGAAAATATTGTATATGAAGCCCTTGTATGTAACGTGGGATTAAAGTCTATAAAATTAAGCAATAAAAAGTATGTTCTGTGTAGACTTTGGTGTTTTTTCAAATGCTTAGACTTACGCCGCGTCCACGTGTTTACGGTACGATTCCGTGGTTGGATCTTGTTGCGTGTAGATCTGAGGGAATATTTCTTTTACGGTGTAAAAGTTGTCGATTACAGTCTTGATCTTTTCCATTCGGTACTTTAAACTAAACATAATTTTTTTTAGCATTTCATCGCCTGTTGACAAAAAAAAAAAATAATAATATTAAACGTAGTTTATTTTCAGTGTTAATATTGAATTTTGGAATGAAAGAAACCTGTGCGACCCGAAACAAAATATGCTTATAGTATTAATTTTATCCTTTTACAATCGACAGTAGTTTAGAATATAATTATTTATCTTTAATCAATGTAGGTCGGTAAATATCCGAAAATCAAAATCGCAATGCAACCCGCACGCATGAAAAAAACTTTCTCGACTTTGCTCCAAAATTAGAGAAATACAGGGTGTTCAAATATCGTGAACCGCTCAATATCTCATAAGGTGTAACAAGAAATTGAATTTGTTTTTTTTCATATTGTTTTTATACAATGCGATCTCAATTTTTCACAATTTTATTTTTGTTTTTAACCATTTCCCTCCCAAACTAATTATTTTTGTATCAACTTTTGAAAATTTTGAAATTTTTGATAACGTATATATTTTATTAAGAATATTTTACTGCAAATTTCAATTAAAAATCAATTATTAATTAAACCCGATAAGATATCGAGTGGCTCGCGGTGAAATGATCACCCTGTATATAAATATTTATTTTGGTAGATTCGTTTGCATATTATTATGAATATAAATACACAAAAAAATCGTAAACTATCTTGTTAGCAGTTTTGCTACACCATACGCCGTATACGTCGCTGTACGGCCAACGTGGGCTAACCTTATTTCGAAATGTTATCCCAATTATTATTACCTATTACTCAACGCACACGGGCCGCGCTAATAGCATGTCACGATGAGATAAATTATTATACACAGCAGCTTACACGAGAAACGAACCGCACACTACATAATATAGTTTAAGTACGAATATAATTATGTCGAGCAAACTCAATACTCATCATTTATACCGAGGCTTGCATAGCATGTACGTTTTAAAGCGATAAATGATAATATGTTTTTCTAGTTGAAACCGACAACAGGTGAAATTAATGTACAGCTATCAGTTATCAAAAAAAACTCCATACATTTGAAACCGTCAACCGTGCATTTTTGTGTTTATCATCCTCGGTCGAGTACCCGTAGTAATAATAAACTTGTTATGCTTACTGATTTTTGGCAAATGGTGTTGCTTGTCCAGCCAGTGCCTGAGGATGGCCAAGTCTTGATCGATTTCCGATTGCGTTCTCGGGCAAGTGTCCCGAATGGCTTTCAGCTGTTCGTTGGTCAGTGGCAAGACCATTATTATTACTATTATTATTATTTCTGTTCTACAAAGATCTCTCTAATCTCGTCGATTAATATTAGATTTTTCTATGTAGAATAATTGCTTCGCCCTGCGGACACAAAAAAAAAAATATATATACATATAATATAGATCACACATATAACATTAAAAACTAAATACAGTTATAGTTGTACCGTTATGTTTATTTTTATTGCGGGGTTTCGGATGGATTTTTAAATATTGCGAAAGTCTACGTCTAGCGAGCTTACCCAATAGCTGTTTCATCAGTTCTGTTATCATATTAATTTGTTCTACGAAAAGAGCCGCGCAAAATTTTGAACGTCTCAACTACCGTTACCGACTTTACGTCAATGGAACTTTTGTTGATCTACAGCAGTTGTCCTTGGCGACCAAAACTATATTTATACAAACACCGCACACAACTGCATCGACAGCACAATCAACTGTTATAACACGTGTTTTGCACCAAACAAAATACTTGGGCAAACTCTCTCAAGAAAAAAAAAATTACTAAAAATGTCTACATTTTCATACGACAATGATATAATAATAACAATAATATATAATTCTAATAGTAATAATAATAACAATAATACTCGAGTGTAATTAGCACGAATCGAAGGTCAAGACTATATTTTCATTAGCTTTTAAATTGTTTATGAATTGTGTATTGTTATCAAAACAATGACATCTCGTGTTGTTAAATATTTCGTTACTGTGCTACTGCTGTCGCTACGTTTATGATAAGCTGTTATGTTTAGAAACTTAATACCAAGAACATCTTGTAGGAAACGTTCATTGCGACTATTCACTACTGTAAGCATACCAACACCAAGACTTGTTTGATTAGCCTGGTGTAGGTACGTCGATTACAGCTATTTGGAATAAGACACATGTGAGAAATCGCCATGACGAAGGTCGTCGGTACCCAAATAAAACGAATCTCGTATGTTTGAAAACAAAATCCAAATTAATGAGGTTAACCTCTCTCGTGTTGCACACTTATCGATAATTTATTTATCAAGATACCACCGACCTACCTACCGAATCCCCAGAAGCCGTTAAATGTCAGTCTGCTATCTAATGCAACCAAAACAAACGGTAAAACATAATTATTAGCTGTATAGCAGCTAAATCAGGAGAAATATAAATTAACACCGGTCCGACGGCAATTTGTTATTTTCACGGAATACATAATTTTGCAAAACGTAATAAAAAAATATGCATACCACATGAGAAATGTGCACAAACAACAATGGACAAGCCTAGGTCGAAACATTCGGGCGTTTATTTAGTTGATAATAAGTGTTGATCCGATAAATGTTACAAAAGCTTTTGAAATTCATTAAAAAACGATCGGAGCTTACTAATAAAAAAAAAAAAAAACGTTTTAAAGAGACAAGTAATCTCACTAAACGCTAGCAGGCAGAAGCCGAGATGTCGGAGTTTCACTATTATAAAATCAATGATAATTGTCAAAAATATAGTACAAACACATACCTGTTAAAAAAAATGTTTGTGGGGGGGAGGGGGAGTACAAGTGCATTTTTGAGAATAAGATAACGATTAGAATGCAATTAAAGGCAAGTGATTTTTTTTTAATTTTGGCAGAAATAATGAATAAAGGAACAAGTATTTTTCACAAAAGTATGTTGTTTAAATATTTCAGATAAAAACATTTCTACACTTAATAAATTGTATAAGGTCAATATAACACTTTTGTGGTTTAGGAATCGTGCTCTTTGAGTCTAGCATAATGTTTGTGTGTGGTATTCTACCAAACGGTTTCACCTGGTACGTAGAAGCCAACCTATTTGTTTATTATAAGATCGTGAATTGTCTGTAGGCGCTTATAATATTTTTGTAATTCATAGATTTGAAGCTAGTCCAAAGTGAAAGTTCTTAACGAGCAAACATTAATGTTACAAAATAATATCTACCATAACAGATTTTAACTCAAAAACACTGAAATCATAAAACTAATGATGTGCACAAAATTCCATAATGCGTTTCGTGGATATAAAGTGTAAACAAATTGTATTAACAACACTTTTAAGTGCAATACTCGATTTAAAGTTAACACATTATAATATTATGTTGAAATATTTTATAGAGATAAAACGGTGTTTAATGTAAAATAATTGTCTCGCATTTTTTTCCACTAACTCCTAGAACTAAATTTCAAATTTGCAATTTTAAAGGGACGGTGAGAACCAAAAAGGTAGAAATGACTTTCGTAAAATTACACCGGAGAACAAAATAAAATATAATTTCTCCGTGTGTTCTTATGTAAGGTTTACATTAGTTTTTTTTTCAAAAATCGTTGAAAAATTGAAAAAGAAACAAACACTTACAGAATGAGGTTTCATCGACCAACTTCACAATAATATTATCTACATGATCAATAAAAAAAAGATGGTCACTAAAATACAAATTTTTTCGGTTTTCATCGGTTGGATATTGTAGACAATAGCGATTTATAAAAATTGTTATTTTCCAATTAAAAAACTCAGCTCGAAACTAGTAACGACAATGTGGCTGTGCGACAAAGAAGCGTTATGTAAATAATTGTACTTCTTTAGGAGAAACTCTGATGCGTTTGGGATTGAACGGCGAACGATACGAATAAATACATAATTAAAACGCGGTTGCATATTATTATACTGACCTGTGGCTATGTCGTGTTAGCAATAGTGAAGCCGCTGTGAATTTTGTAAGCACCCAACGGCTGTTGCGGCGACTCGGATGATTGTGCTGAGTCTCCACTGTTCGGATTTTCGAAGCCAATATACTCCTGCCGTGGTCGGTGCCCCTCTAATCCTATACAGTGGGATGTGTTTACCGGTTTGGATGGTCACGAGAAGTTGTTTAGTCGAGTTGTCGGCCAACACGGTCGATCCGGACATAAACAATGCGGTGCATTAAAAACAAAAAAAAATAATCAAACACATCCACATACTATATATATATATATATATATATGTATTGAACAAAAAAAAAACCGCTCGCAATAATTAACATCTGCCCGCGTATGAAATGATAATAATTATCGTTGTTAATGCAAACTAGTTTTAATGTGTTTGCCACACTCATCTCCCTCCCCCTCCCTCTCACCGTCGTTTCATCCGTACATTTTTATTACAATATAATAATTCGCATTAACATGGAAAACAAGGTATTCGTACGTTTACAGCTTTTGTACTTAACAATAAAAAAAAATATATATATAATATATATGTGAACCGTGTAACATAGCCAACATAGCGACCTTCGATGTGTCTTACGCGTATTGGACTCCAATCTCCATCGTTTCACGATCATTTCCATTCTATTCGACAGTGTCTACTCCCTTTTTATTGTATTACTACAATAATACATTGTCAAGAGGCGACTACGATAATGTTCAAGTCGATATTATGTAAACTACTTATTGTGTAAACGGAGTACCATTCGTGGACCAAATCAACGTAAGACGAGGGTTGAAAAATGATTGCACAACACACTATTACGTTCTATACACGCGTTGAATATTGTAACGTGCTATTATTGGATATTAAACTAATAACCATTGACGATGACAGAGCTTTGTTTCAGACATATTCAATGGATGACCGATCAGCCTTCTCCTAAAGTAATGTCAAACGTACTATTGAACTGACAAAGAGTTGTTTTCGAACGATGTTTAATCATGCGAGCCCTGATAAAACATTATATATATATATATATATATATATATATATATAGTGTTTACCTTTTTTTTGGATACATCATAGATCATTTGAATAAACACACGGAAGAGATGTCCCAACCAAATTACAGCTCAACAGTCAAATGACGCAACAAATTTAACAACCGTTTAGTTTAAGATGCTAAAATGTAACGTTGTAAACTAAATTTAGTAATTACTCTGTCTAAGAAAGAAACAAGACATCGTTGAAACTAAAAATATTTTTTATTGAATAAGTGTTGAACATTACCTACTGTTTTCGGAACATTTGACAAAAGGGATATTTTTTACTTACAAAATATGTCTCAGCAGCTGCATTTTTATGAAAAATGAGAAATTTAAGGTTTCGTCCGAAATTAAAAATGAGAAATTTTTTTTAAAATCTACATTACACATAAATGATAGGTTAATTAATAAGTTTCTATAAACATAGGAATCTTCTTAGACACTGGATATCATTACAATTTAAACTTATATATTTTGTCATCTCCAACACTCAATTTGTATAAATGTAAGTTAACTCTAAGGTTGTTAAGCTCCTACGATAAAATCTCCAAAAAAATTTGTCGGACAAAAATGTTTAATATCATTATGGAATTCTCTTTGCTATGTTAATAAATTAGTATTGAGTATATACGCAAATTTTGCCTTATGATAAAACATCTATCAGAAAATGGCCTGTTTCATTTCATTTCATGGTAAAGGTCAACCCTTTTACCATGAAATGAACGTATTTTCGGGGAGAAGGGGGCAGGTTGAACCCTTAACCCCCCCCCCTCCTTGTATACGGGCTTAAAAGGGTTGTGTAGCGTTCTATCTTAGTGACGATCGAAGAAGTATATACTAGAAAGGATGTCGAGTTCAAATTAAAAAGGAATGCTAGTGTTTATAACTTAAAAGGAGAGAACAATTAAAGATGAACAGAAGAGATATACAAACCTTTATACGAGATTAAAATCACAAAACCTATACTATACATTTTTACCTAATTAGTATTATCTTGTTAATTTTAAAATAGAGTATTGATCTTCAAACAAAATTGAAAATGCCACATAAGTGCTAAAATTGATAATCGTATTATAATACTTAATAAAACATGGTATTATGCCTTAAGGTGTATAATGAAATAGTGTCTATGATATAACATCACCTCAAAAGTTATTTTTTTTTATCTTAGTATAAACTATAAACATATTGAAATAATTATGAGTTAAAAAAAATCCGAAAAGACTGAGTATAAATTTTGATCTTTTAATTAATCTCAACATTATGTTCATGTAAAAATTATGTTTGGAGATACAAAATTCATACGTTATTTGTTATGGCACGACAAACTGGCATGTATAGCTTTCTTATAATTAACAAAACTTATTTGATAATTTACTCTCTTCTGATGATTCGTTTTTAATGATAAGGAAATACACTAGTTTTATCTATTATTGTATATTCAATATGCGTACTAATTACTATGATACATTTTGTCTATTAAAAAAAAATTCAAATTTTCTTGTATAATTTACTAAACAAAAATGATCTGTATTATATTTACATTTTAAAAATGTTTCTATGTAAACACAATCTTTATTTATTAATTGAGTACTTATCAATTTATGGTTCGATGCGTTTATCCTAACAATTAAATCTGACAATATAATATTTTCCACGACTACAAGGTGAATTAATTAAACTGGTCTGACATTGAAATCATTCGCGATTCATTTTATGTAATAACCAGTAATTATCTCAAGACATTTCTTTTATTAAGGGATTCAAATGTTAAGGTTTTAATATTATAACGTATCATGTAAAATAATAAACTTAAATCGCACTTTTTTTTCAACTTTAAAACGCAAAATTGTAGTTGCAAATTTTATAGTAATATACAATTAATATCTTAATTGGCCATCTATTAATTAATTAATATATTCCATATATTAAATATACCTGTATTATGATTATAATATATTATATAACCTATTATGTTTTATAAAATAAATAATAATTTCTAAAATTCAAACATTTCTATATAAAATACAATTAATATAATAATGTATTTTAGATTTGATACCAAAAAAATACATTATGCATAATGAATGTTTGAATGTTTATTAATTATGTAGTTTGATCGTTTTCAGATTTAACAATGTCTTATTTTTTTGCTGCTGTAAAAGATAGTTACTTTTTCTTTAAAGATAGAATTTGCAATGGGCATAGTAACATCTAAAATTTACCAAATTATTAATAGGTAATTTATTTATTATTAAAATATCAATAGATTTTGTATAATAAAATTAATATTTTTTAGATAAATATTTGATATAGCTAGGAAGTGAATAGGTTTTATTATAGATTTTGTTGGTTACTTTTTGTGTCTTGAAATTTGATATAACATACGAAATCTTTACTTATAATGTATTATTATACAGTATATTGACCGGAAATAGTAAGCGATTGGTTAATTAAAATACAAAAGATCTTCTCTTCTTCTTCCTCTTTATCTTCGCCTTACATGACCGAACCATCTCAACCTATTCTCTCTCATTTTCTTCGCAATTGATGCAACTCCTAGACTGCTCATTATGTATTCATTTCTTATTCTATCTTCTCTAGTCACTCCACTCATCCATCTTAACATTCTCATCTCCGCTACACTCATTCTCTGTTCCGTTTTCTTATCTACTGCCCAACATTCCGACCCATATAACATTGCTGGCCGCACTATCGACCTATAAAATTTACCTGTCAATCTTATAGGCATCCTTCTGTCACACAAAACACCCGACGCTCCCCTCCCTTCCACTTCATCCATTCATAATTAATTATATTTTCACAACCTCCTCGTACCCACCATCTTTCTGTACCAATGATCCTAAGTACTTAAACCTATCACACACCTATCATCACCCATCAAAATACAAAAAATAAATACAGTATTATCACGTGTTGATTTTTAATATGTTTTTCTTTTTTGAATCAACCTAACCTAACCTAACCTAACCGAACTTGAAATAGACTTTTAGGCTTTAAACTAATTTTGACGCTCCCAGTTATGAATTATAATAGTTCTGATATACTTGTGACCACCTCAACCTGTTTATATCATGGCCCAACCCTACTTGGCTGGCTTTTTTTGCATTTAATAATAACTGATAAAATTCCCAAAGTATTTAACTTCTTTTGTATTTTTCAGAGCGCTATAAACTTTCAAAACTTAAATGGAGTCGTATGTATTTTATTACATTTAAGAATAATTTACTTTTAATTTCGACTGATCGATAACCAGTTTTAAATAGTTATTTTTCAAAAAGAAAAACTACACAATTGCAATTATTTTTAAAGAAGTTTAATGTCTTATATTAAACGGATCACCTTGAAAAATGTTTAGATGCCCCATCATTGTCAGGTTCGGATAGAAATAGTTTGTATCACATTTGTAAATCTAACAAACCAATGATCAGCCTGGCCCCTTAGTGCTATTTCACTAATGTCTAAGGAACTGGTTTTTTTATATTGATTCAATAAAATATAAAATAACTAAAATAATCTGAATAATATCTATCATATTATTTTAGTGTGAATTCAAAAAGTAGATCCACTAAAATTACACTAAACTATTCATAAATATATTATAAATTCACATCTGATAAACCAGTCTAGTGGCATGGTGTACATAAACTGTTTGTTTTAATAACACTACTTATTCGTAGTCACTAACTAACCATAGAAACTAAGAAATTAATTATAGATAGCAAAAATAAAAAAAAAACATTTTTTTTTATAGTTTTTTGAGAGAAAAAAATGTTAATTAATAATTATTACAACGCGCTAGGTTTGAAGAAAACATGTTCAAACTATGACGTACTAATTGCGTAAGTAAACTAGCACTATTAATAATCTACTAAAATATAATTTAGTATTAAATACATTTGTCTACGACATTATAGACAAAATTATAAACTAAAAGGTAAAGTACAGTCATGTAACCAGGATGCTCTCGCATAATGAAAATTGTAAATATGACAGTGGTGTGTATTAGACGGGAGCTGTGAAATGTCGTCATAAGTTGAAGTTAGGAAAATATAACAAGGAAACAAAAGTTGTTAAAAAGCAATTATTGAAAGGGTTAAGCACAGTTAGGTAATTTTCAGGTTTTTGTTAGTGCAATATGCACAACATTGTATGAAAATATCAAGTACTAGCATGGGATGCAGTTAACGTTGCGTTTTCCACCTCACCGCACAGACTACATTGCTCCAATATTTATATATACCCACTTTTTTGGTTCACATTATTACACTCCACTAGTTTTTCATACTGTACTACAAAATTTAACTCTTTTTGTTTTGGAACACAAACCAAAATACATCTTGAATGAATCCGACCACAGATTTTCTAGTAACATCTAGATTTTATTTTTACTTTTTAAAAAATGTTATGATGCATGCCCATATTTACAAATTTACTTTTTTGACAACGTTTCGGAAGTCTTGTATCTTGCATCTTTAAGGCTGTGCTCTGGTATTTCTCGCAGAGACATGCTCTAAGGGAGTATTAAGAGGATATATAGGATCCTCCTAGGTGGATGTTAGGTAGATGGTTTCTTTTTGTACATCAAAAATACATTTTAAATAGGGGGGGGGGGAGTTAAAATTTAAAAAAAAACATTGAGTACGCCACTGGTTTCTTTAACCATTACGCGCTGACAATTATTGTCAGATGATTTGTTTTCTAAATCACCTCCGAGGTTTTAAACAACTTCCAAAACAAAAACCAGAACTGTTTTATTTTCTTTGTGCTCTTAGTTTAATTATCGCAGTGACCTACAATCAAGTGCAATTGTACAGCAACAATACGACACGGTGGAAAACGCAATAAGTTGATGGTTACAATAAGATTAATTTAAAAATATGTGATCACGTTAGCTTAAAATAAATGGGCCAATTTAATTAAAATATTATATTTTATAAATATGGACGTATACGATTTTCTAAGTAGGCAGTATTACAAAAACTATTCCTACAAGTGTGAATATAAACTTTTTTTTTTTTTTAATAATTGGTGTTTTAGGTGCTTGTTTCTTATTATTTTTTTAATTAAAAAAAAAAAAAATTGTGTACTTAAAAATTTGAAAAAATAATATGATAACAAACACAAAAACTGTTAAACTAGTATTCTAATTTAAATTGCGTTTAAATAAAATAAAAAGAGTTTTCATCGTTTGGTCGCCAACTAGTTTTTGTACTCAAAACATGACGTGAGCTGCAAAAAAAAATAGTTGTTCTATTATTAATCAATGGGAAAACCTCTTAAAAAAAAATCTTAAATTTAAAAGATGACATTTACTGAATCTGCGTGTTTTCCTATTGACTATTAATATTATTATTATTATTCGAGAACAAGTTTATTATTAATATAGTAATAATACAAGTTAAAATAAAATAAAATAAAAATAAATGATGTAATTAATTACAGCTGTAAATGCGTCATAAAAAATAAATAATACAAATCAGTTTTATAAGGTTTAACGTACATTGTTTTTTTTTTTTTTTAACAATAATATATGCGATCGGGGTTTTTACTTTTTATAATGTATGCGTAACGCCTCGAAAACCTCTGGATTGCAATTGTTTAGGTATCATATTTTAATGGAGCTAGACATTAATGTGCCAAGCTGTCAATAGTTTGCTTATTAATCAGGATTAATTTTGGAGGAAGCAAAACCGCTAAATTTATTCTCGTTATAAATCGCAGTGATAGGCATTTATTTAACTGTGTAATAACCTCGGAAATTAATCCCACTTGTGTTCTCTCTGGTTAAATATTTTGTTAATACAAATAAGTTACCGCTATATCGTTTTTCAATTAAATCATTCATGTATTGCGATTAATGTAAATTTGTGAATTCGTAGTTTTCAAAATCTAGTACACGAGTATGGCATGGGCGAGCTCAACGACGATGAGTCTTCTCGTAGGTTCTTTGCTTTCGAAGCTTATGATGTCCTCAGCGACTCCTATTGGCGGGACCTGTACGATCAGTATGGCGAAAGTGGCATAAAGTCTGGTGTGTTAGCCGACAATGAGAATAACATTAAGCGGTACGCTTATCACGGTGACATATTCCTTACGTACAAGTGAGTTTTTGTTGTTGTTCTAAAAAATTGGAATTTCTAGTTAAACGAGTAACATTAAAGAATTCCGAAGAAGGAAACCAACAGATAATGAGGAGACAGACCGTTAATTTATATACAATGGAACTTCTTCAATAATAATTCCCAACAATAAAATAATGTAGTTTTGCGATTAATATGATTAAAGAACCTGTATTGTAAAGATGAGTAACCTGTACTCATAAATGTCAGGAAAATAAATTGACTGGTTTAGGTTAGGTTAGGTCTTTTCTTTTGGAGATGAGACAAAAAAAAAACCAGTTCAACTTGAAGGCAAAATTTAAATTAACAATTATATAATTCATGGTTTACTTATATGTTAAGTAACAATACACGGTTTTCTTTTCCGGATAAAGATCAGTTTTTGGATCTACCAACCCGTGTGCGCATATAATGTCCATGTTGGCAATAAAAAAGGCAGTACCGAATCCTAGTAATCGTATTTTGGCTACGATGACACCAATTAAAAAGATTCCCCTCAGGTTAACACTAGAAGAAGTAAGTGTAAAGACTAAACTATTAAGTTACTTGATTAGTTGTTCATACTACTATATAAGTGAATTTTTATTTTAAACAATTGACTTTATACATTTTAGTTATTTTTTGGAACATTAAAGAAAATGAGTTTTACAACTGATGATGGGCTACAAAAAGTAATTGATGTAAAAGTACCATGTGGTATACCGGCTGGTTTTGAAATTGTAAAATATGACGAACAAAGAAACCTGAGGAGTATGTTATAAGCTAAATACTAATATCAATAGACATAAATCTGTTAAGTTACTTTTTAACTAGTAATTTAATAGAACTTAAGTTGTATTTAATTGCGATACTAATTACATAGCTATAGGATTTTTAACTCTTAAGCAAATATTTATTAATAATAAAGTATAATTATAAAGTCAATAAATTAGAATAAAATTAGAACAGGAATGTGAAATAGTAAAACAAGTAGACCCATTTATGTAAATAGGTAGATGTAGAGGTTGTAGACAAGTGGCACTTGAGTTTTTTCTCGTATTTCTAGATAATTTGAATCACATCAAGTTATTCATCACCTTATGTTTTGTTTTGTTTAAAAAAATATATATGTGTATGTATAAACATATATATACACTCAAACGGTCATACTTATATGGATACGTACATATTTTTTCAATTTAATTTTAACTGCCTTAAATGTACTGAAATTTGATTTTAATAAATACTCTTTAAGCATACCTATCTATTAGCTAATAATGGAAATTCAATTTTAATGATATTGTCACGTTTAAACCGATAACTCAAATTTATCAAAATAACAATTCCCAAAACATAACTTAAGTCCGTTTAATAAACAATAAATACTATAAACTATTAACATGTTAATTCATCAAATAATAATTAATTCATAATTATTGCCTACAGTAGATCATAGAGCAATCGACTTATGTACCTAAAACATTCTACTTTGTCGTTATAGTTTTCATCACAGAAGATTTACCGCACAAGACGTATGTCCGGGATGGAATGAACCTTATAAGCACATTTGATATATCAATGCAAGACATGTTATGCGGTGCTGAATTTACTATTAAAACGTTAGACCACAAACGTTTACACATTAAGATCACTCAACCGATTACGTAAGTTGACATTTTGCGAAATAGTAGGTACTTGTAAAAAAAAAATATATATATATATATATAACAGACAAGGTCATTGTGATCCTCAAGCGATATACTTGCAATCACTGACTCCCTTTTTCTTACAAAAAAATATTTAAAACTGAAAACGTGTTTTTACACTCATTTTCAAAAAACGTGTTATACTTACAATTGAGAAAAACGATGTTGCTTCCTGTACTATAAGATACTGGCCAATAGCCAATGTTAATACAAAAAAAAAACATTACAAGTTGCTTAAGACCTTTAGACAATTTTCAAACTCGCTTTCAAGGTTACTGTGAACGTCGTGAAAAAATGAACTATCTACCTAAAAATAGGTCTAATTATTGTTCTAATAAATAATAATTATTACACATTACAATAGGTACTACCGTAGGTATCGCTTTAACTATTTATCGCATTTAGACGGTACCACATTTTTTGAATTCACTCGTCATTATAATATTAGGTACATCTTTCAAAACTAGTCTGTCCCGAACATATCAAAATTCACTTATATTTTGAAATAATTCTTTAAAACTTGGCTAACTATAAAAAATATTGAGTCAAATTTAATTAAGATTTCAGTAATAGAATCGTTTTTATTTCATACGTCTTAACATAATGTTACTTGGGTTGGGTTGTAATTTAAATTTCTAAGGGAAATAAACCTACTGTTTTAACTCAAAACTAACACGTTTTGAAAAGTTTACCTTCAACTAGCGTACTTCCTCTATGGTGCAGTACTTCGAATTTTCCAAGCGTATCGAATGGAAAAGAGTTGATTTAGATAAGTCGACCGTAGATTTTACCATAGATTACAGCCAACCGTAACTAATGCAATGGATTTCATTTATTTTTCTATGAATATTGAAGGTGAGGCCTGAATCTATTTGGCATATGAACTTTTTAATAAACTGTATTAAACCTTAACTTATTTAACTTGAGGTACTTAACTGAATATTTAACTTAACACTGTATTGGTGGCCACGCGCCTCTATTATTTTGTTCATAGCAATATAGAATCTAATTTGTATGGATGTAACCAAAACCAATTTATTATACTCTCACCTGTTAAGTCCTTCGAAATGTACTGAATAAATTTACAACATGATACGATGCTATCGATTTTATTTAACATTGATAAACGTAAATTACTGTATTTTTATTATACTCAAAAGATATTCGAGTTTGATGATTATTAGTTTTATGGAATTCCTGGTTTGCGTTGTAATCAGGTGCTTAATTTTAATTTTTGATTTGTTCCGTTTTTTCGATACTTCCTTGACTGTATTACCCATGTGTAAATTTATTATTTGAGCTACAATGGATATACATCTACTAAGAAATATCTATTGAAGGAACTTTCTTTATTTCATTTCATTTCAATTTTTTTTATTTTTTGATAATTTTTTGCCTATTGGATTACGGTCTGAAAATTTGACTGATTCTATAATAGAGCTTGTGTGGTCGAACTTTATTTTATCAATGAAAACTATATTTGTTGGGTTACAAACATATTTATGCTTAAGTTATATATGTATACATGACTTATTACCATCTACAGATTTGTATCGAAGCGTTTTTAAATCACGTTCAGCTATAATAAATGCTAGAGAATTGTAGCTTTCCAATCCTAACTTGATGTGGACACATTGTGTACCCCCCTCCCTGAGATGGCTTTCCATTAAGTTATTTTCCTAATTTTTTTAAACCCACTACTTATTTGATGGTATTCTTCATAGATAATAAAATAATGGATAGGCCATGTCTACGAGTATATTAGCAACACAAAGGGTCGCACGCCGAAAGGGGCAGTTAAAGGGGAAGTTAAGGGGTCTTATCAATTAATGATATTTTAAAATGATAACAAATAAAAATTACAAACGCGAAACGTTTATTATTTAATAAACTTTTGTAATTACTATTTAATTTGTTTTATGAATATTGAATCGTATTGTGCATATTATGATAATATATTATTGTGATTACCGTCGAGTTTCGAAAACTGATATGACCCCTTATGGCTGTTGTAACCTTAAATTTTCAAAATGTTCATTCTTGTGTAATAAACTCCCTTGGCCTATCCATTCTTTTATTATCTATGGTATTCTTATTTAAAATATGTCTTAAAAACTTTTGATCTCCAATTTATATATTTGAGTTAATTATTCGAGCAGTTCCAGGGAATAGTGCTAAACAAAAGAATTCTTAACCAACTGACTAACTTTTTAGGCGTTACATAACTTAACATTTATAAAACTGAAAATTATCTTAAGGTATATAATTTTTCATAGTTGAATTATATTAATCCCGATAATATTAATAATATTACAATATATTGTTTATCCTTAGGTACATGCAATTAGCGTCTCCAAAAAAAAATGGCTTTTTTCAAATAAAATGTTCAAATGACAACTAAAGCTATTAATTAGTTCAATTTAATTGTGATTTTTTTGTTTTTTAATTATAGTTCAGATATAACTTACACATTTGATAATAGCCATACCAAATTGTCTGATTTAAATGTACCTAAAAATACTTCTGAATAGAACACTAACATGAACTTAAGATACCCATAACTTTGGAACAATATGGTATTAAAAAGGGTTTTTAACATTTTTGTATTTCAACTATTAATTACTAACAGAACATTCTAAAAAAATAAAAGGGGTTCCCATTTAAATTGTATAAGTTGATACCACGCATGCGCAAACTAGTCGTTAATTTTAAAATTACTAATCATAGTAAAGTATTATAAATTATATGGTATTTACCTTGTTAATCAGCATTTACGACACATGTTTTTTTTGTTGCACCGCGATGACTTGAAAATAAATGACTTAACTAAATAGGATATCGCCGACCATTGGCCACTGTTTAATCTACAATGTCTAATGGTTACGGTTATAATAAAAACATGATACTGACGTAGCCGTCATAATTGTCATTACACCTAGGTGACAACCGTTTTGAACATTGAAATATCGCACCAATGCAACGTCTCAGAAACACTTTAAGAATTAAATTATGCAGCTCGTGGACGTGCATAACATTTTAATTTCAACAATATTATTGTTTTGTTATCATTTAAAAACAAATGTACATATATATATCTATATAGTTATATTAATGTGCATTCACGAATGTGACGAAGGGCATAATGTTCGAAGTCTCACAATTTATTCAGTTTCAAAAACGAGATCTTTCTTGCGTGTCTCCTTGGGTGACAACAAAGTATTTGTTGCTTCCCAGCGAACGCAGCTACAATATAGTACAACAATATGATGGTGTTATATATATAAATATTTATATAACACCTTACAATGATTCACACTAAATTCATCCACGAAAATGATACATTTAAGTTGGGAACAATAAAACCATAGATGTGTAAAACAGAAATGTTAATTTGATTTGTTTGCGAGGATATTATTTAACTAATTATACACGAACTTAAGTAGATATAGAAAAAAAAATACCAAAATAAAATTAACCTTGAGCGTTGTGAAAAACTAGATTTAAACAACGATAGGTAGGGTTTTAAAAATAAAATAAATATCCGCGATTATCACATACAAATATCTGTAATTTTTAATTTCAAGGAACAAATAATATGATATTGATTTAATTAAATAGATATTCGATACACGTGCATTTTTTTTTTGTTCATATAGGCCAACGTATGTAAAAACTATTCACGGTCAAGGAATGCCGGGTTATGGTGATAAGAAAACTAGTAAAAGAGGTGATATTGTTTTAAAATTTCGGGCGCAAATGCCACCGTATATGCCTATAGAAGAATTAAACGAATTGGAATGGCCAAAGCAACATTAAAAAAAAAACCGTGCATCACCTGGCCATCGTGATCGGTATTCAGCGATGATTGATAACAATAACAGATATGTTTACCGTTCAAATAAAATGTAATTTTTTTTTTTTTTTTATTAAAAAACCATCAACATATACTGCAATATATTTCATTCTTAAATGTTACAGTAAAATCTCTTATAAATTAGCATTCACAGAGAGTCTATCCTTTTTTCCGTTTTCAAAAGCTAATATCTACTTTTTGGAGGAAAGCTAAGTATAAATTATTATTTCTATTTATCTCATCGCTGGGATAGTATATTAATTATTAATGTACCTACTTGAGAAAAGTGCTATAGCTAAACAGCTCACATAAATTTCATAGCATGACTTAATTTACATACTTTTCTTTTTTTTCTTTCAATAGATATAACGATTTCAATAGACACGACTCTTTCAATAGATTTACATTTGATTCATTTTATTAATTATGGTAATATATCTTCATAATGACAGTTAATTATGATATATAATCTTTGAATTTCTAAGATGATTATGTAACAAAATCATTACACTTATGTATACTTTGTTGAATAAAATATAAACGTTACTACTATATTTATGTAAATGGGTGAATAATTTAATTATATACAAATATACAACACAATATATACGCGACATTCGAATAAGGAACTTCTTTGGTATTTTTAAATTACAGGGTTTAAATTACAAATATAATAAATACGTTAATTTGTAACAAATACGTTCAGATCATTGCTATGCACAAAAACGTTTTCTGATTTTACAATAGTTTCCTGCTTTCATATCCTCGACATGGTTTATAGAATAGCGGATGGTAAAGTGGCTGTATCTGTACATAGCTTATGTGTATATTTTAAAATCAATCATTAGATGCCAAAAATGAAATTGTAGTTGGAGATAAAGGAACAAGAGCAAACGTTATTGATTTCTTGAATTATTGTTTAAAGTATACATGTAACAGTTAAACAATCTATAATGTAAAAATGATAAGCTTTTGGTTGGTTTAATTGCTTAAAAGTTAAAACAACTTCACTATTAAAAGCCACAAAGTAATTATAATAAAAACAACATATATTATTTTCAAAAACTGGAAACGAGAGGAAATAACAATTGAGAAGACACCTGTCTAACAAGAATGACCGGTTCTAAGAAAAAAAAAATCTAACATTGAAGTTCATATTTAGATAGATATACATATTATGCGAAAATATTAATGTACAAGACTCGTCTACCTTTAAACTTTAACACGTTATATTATACGATTTATAGTGTAATAAGTTATACAAAAATAACATTTCTTCATCAATCGACTTTGAACAACTGTAAAAACTCTAAAATTAACTCTTATACCTTAAATTTCAATATAAATTTATTCAATACTTTCATTTATTTATATAATTTGGTAGGATATTACGGGTAATCTTTATTTGTTTGCTTATATCATGCCTTTTCTTATTAAAAACAAAAAAACCTAAGTTATATTTTTTTATGTTTATGTATTGTATACATAAACAGCGATTTGCGAACATGGGCTTTTTTATCTTCGGCCTGTTATTATTGAAATCACATTCTAATATGATTCCTCTGCTGTAGAATTCTAGTAAATCAGTCAGTAATAATTACTAGTATATTTTTACTATATATTGTTTGAAACGAATAGAACAAACGCAATGTCACTTCGTGTATTTAACAATTGTACTTACATTTAGATCGACCAAGTAGGTATATTATATTATAATACTATTGTGATGGGTTGCATAAGCATTCATTGAAGGTTTGATGAATCAAAATATGTTGAATGGTTCCTTAAAAAATATTTAGTGGCCCAAGATTGGTCCATTACAAATTTTAATGGACCATTAAATTTATTCATTTTGTATGCAACCTAGCATTAGTATAATTATTATTTATTAACGAGTAACGCACAGACTTGCGGTGAACACAGTATTATTCTACACAACACTAATACAGATATATCAACAAAAATAATACCACTGGAGAGACGACCGGTAACAACATAATGGAATTATGTACACTAAAATTAAATTTAACGTAAAATTAAACGTATGCACGTGCCTATTAAGTATTGTAAGTTGCGATGATACATACAATAATTTATTATCATAAAACATAATAATTTATTTTTTATTGCACGCCAATAGGCAATAATAAAAAATGTACATCAAGGTCACGACCAAATCGAGTTGAGAGCAAAATAATTAAACTTGGATGTGACCTATTTTTAGTATCTAAATTCGTAAACGGAACCAAATTTCTATTTCAGGGTGGATAATAAATATTTTGGTTAAGGCTTAGCTAAAAAAATTAAAAAAACTGTAAAATGTGGGACCTTAAATCGTAACAGGTCGATGATTGTTGTAATCTCATAGCCAGAAACTCAAAGGCACATTTGTTCTATCAAAAATCAAAATGGATTTAATAAAAATAATATTTTGCCATGTAAAAATGAACTGTGATAGTTAAAAAACGTGCTTTAAATGATAACTATGTATTAATATTGTATTGTATTATACAATATTGTATTATGCATGGTAAGTATAGTAGGTATACATATAATTTACTACACGTTAAATTTAAAAAAAAATCTCTAAATAATCCAATAGTTAACCAATAACTGTTTAATAATTATAATTTAAATAATGCGTGCCTTTTTCAGTAAATACTTTAGTTTAAATATTCTCAGTAATTATGTGTTTTGTTATGACTAAGTAAAATTAATTGTTTCACAAATTAGGATTTAGGTACCTGCATTATTACAAACATAATATTTACCCATAAATGTTGATCAATAGCTTATAACTTATAACTCATGGGTTGTAATCAACTTATAATCTTCCAGAACCACGGTTGCGAGGAAAATGTTCTCAAAAATATTAAATGGTTTTAAAAATAATAAATTATTTAGTCACCAAATAAATATGAAAAACAATATAATAACTAAATAATTAAAAATAGTCGTTAAAATGCATTACGATTTTTGTAAAAAAATCGAATTTTTTAAAAGAAATTTCAAAAGGCTACGGCTATATTGATTGATGTTGTAAACTTCAAAGTTCAATCAAATTCTATTTCACTAAAAAAAATAGCTTTACACATATCTTAACTAACACACAGGTTGATATGACTATATGAGAGATTACAAAATTACCCCTCCCTAAATTATCTTTTCGAATGGGGAAAAATACAATGACCTTAAAATATCATTGTATGATAAAAACTAAAATTTATTTACAATAGTCGTTTTTTCATAATTTTAGAAAATCGTCAATAAGTCAGATGGGTCATAAAATGTTAAAAACCCTGCTTTTGTCGACGTTAGGTGCACATTATTATAACGCAACCTCAATATGGGTATCTAAATAATATTTAGTTGTTTGAACGTGTAAAAATTTTTTTTATAAACGATTACTTTATGTAAACTGTGGAAAACACATATCAAACCGCAAAAGTGTTTTTCTAAAGTAAAAACATTGTGTTTTCGAGTTAACAACAAGGCCAAAGGCAAACAATGCTACTTCAAATAAAAAAATCTTATTTTTAAAGTTTTGTTTACTTTTAAGCTAGGTGTTACATTTTAAGCACACGCGCCAATGTTAAAAACTATACAAAAACCTAACTTTCTTACAATTCAAATATTTTATACGTGTATAAATGGTCTTATCGTTAATGAATCACCCATCATCATATTTTATATATATAAATATATAAATACAACTCGTGGGATTCCGATGACCATTATGATGAATCATTTAATTTGTTTAATTTATTTTGAAATTATAGAAAATATTAGAATAACAGAATTTAGTAATAAATTTAAAGGTACACGTGAATTAATATAAGGTGTTTATTTTACAATGAATTATTATTTTGTTTTCTTCATCGATGCGCAAAAAGTAGTCAGAGGAAACGAATATAATATAGCCAAATAACGACTGAAAACGCATAGTATTTAATTATTTTTAGACCCCTATTTTCTTAGGGGTCTAAAAAGTTCATTGAAGGTCGACTTTTTAAACTTAAATGGTAACATATACATTTGATTACTTTTTAATTAAAGAATATTTTGCCGGAAAATTAGAGTAATTTTGAACAATTGATACTTTGATTGTCTTTTGATATTCCTTAGAGTAACAATATTTGGGGGAAATAGTGAAATTGTTATAAACAGTCGAAGAATCAGTGACATTAGCGACGACTTCTTTTTTTTGCGATACAGCTGCTATGGCTGACTACACAAATAAAAAAAAATATATGTCTTTATAGCTTGGCACTACAAAACATATCATTTACTGTGCGCATTGAGAAATTTAGTACCTACATTTTTTTACCCTTAAAGATTTCACTATTCTTATTATCGTGAAATTTGATTTGCCAATCTTCTTTCACATTCTCACTCGCTACATTGATATATTTAATTATAACTTTAATATTTAGGTGTTCCTAATGTGGGGTTTCCTCCTCATGTAAACCATGTGATGTATTATTATTGAAAATAGTTTTTAAAAAAATAAAAAAATTTTAAAAAACTTTAATTTAATACAAGGAGTCATTTACATAAAGGTGGAGTAAGGATTTACCCTTCCCCTACCTTGTGTCCGGCTAGACACGGGCTGATGTTCGGCTGGGTTTATGCCGGTTTCGGACTAGTCATGGACCGCTAGTCCACTAGACTGACACAACTTAAAATTTAGGTGATTTCAGGCCTATTGCTATATTTTTTTTATACAAAATAGTCTATCATCTCAAGTCGTAACCCAACCAACGCCTTTATAATACAATTGTGTCTGTATGGAAAATTACAGTTTGACGGTTGTAAGTTTGAAGGTTGCAGTAAGTGAAAGTAATCAAATGTTGATATATTTTAATAGGATGATTTATGAAAAATGTTCACGTTAAAAAGTAGTTAATAGATGATAAACGCTTAAAACAACATGCCTCTTTTTGTACTTATTCAATAAAAAAAGAAAAGTCCTTGTGTTCTTAAAAAAAAAAATCTAGAGATGTACACAGATATATATATATATTTACAA